GAAATACAACAATATTCACTCACAACTTTGAACGTGAACAAATTGAATATAGGCCTATCCATTGGTAAGTTACAGGTAGCTCAACTTTCCGTATACAGTAATTACTACAGCTTTCAGGCTATCTTTGAATTTTGAATTTCGTCTCCTCGATGGTATCTTGGAATTCCGTCTTTCCAAGATAACATATCTTGGAAAGACGTCTTTCCAAGATAATTTATCTTGGACTTCCGTCTTTCCAAGATACATTATCTTGGAATTCCGTCTTTCCAAGATAAATTATCTTGGAATTCCGTCTTTCCAAGATAAATTATCACGGAAATCCGTCTTTCCGAGATAAATTATCTCGGAAAGACGTCTTAATAAGTGTTTATTCCATGTTTCCATGATAATTATCTTGGAAACTCGGTTATTATTACTCCACGTGTAGTGCATTCATGGTGTTCGGGTGTTTTCTTTTGAGGTTTGTCATTTAACCTTCTTAGTATGCCAGCTCCAGGAAACACGACGACGATGATGATGATCATCATCATGATTATGATGATCGTGATAATGATGATGATGATTATGATGATGATGATATGATGATGATGATATGATGATGTTAATGACGATAACATCAGTGATGACAACAATAACCATAATAATGATGACGATGATGATAATAATATTCTTATGTTATTTTTTTAGCGTATCACAATAATGTTATTTATATAATATTGCAATAAATTAATTGGACATTTTCTATTTACCTGCTGGACAAGTGTAACAACCTGATCCTGAAATCCGCCCGTATAAACCAAGTCCACAAGGCTTGCACATTATACTATCGCACGTCATTCCATATAAATAGTGAATTGAATAATAACCGGCTGGGAAAGTGAGTACTGTTTTATTTGTGACACACGTTCTAAATTTAAAACAATAATAAATAACGTAAATGCTTAAATTATCTAAAGTAACTAAATTTGGCTCTAGGTAACTATATTTCGAATGTATCCATGTCTACCAACGGCGGGTGCAGTACAGTACTACACTGGTGTTGTGTTGTGTCACTAGTCCTAAAATAATCACATTTGGTTTAAAAAGCCAAAAATGTCACCATTCAGCGTTAGGCCTATAGTAACATGTATAAGTGTTACTTCTCCCTGCAATGATTTTTGATATTAAAGTTAGTATAAATATTCAAAGATTCAAGTTACGTACGCATTTGTGTGTCCTGCTATCTTCGACGGGATGTATTCGAGATTTCCACATTCAAGATACCTAATTATTAAAATATAATAGATAAGTAACTATTTAAACCGAGAACAGTATAAACTGTGATTTATTTTTTCTCTTCTGTGGGGAAAACCTACCTTTTTTTTCCATTGTCCACTTTTTTTGCAATAATTTTCGGTTTTATACTTATTTATTTATCCTAAAGTGAATAAATATGAAACTCATTGCGTATCCTCATACTTACAACAGTTAAATTTTTCATTTTTCCGGCCCTTTTGACAAATTCACGATGCACAAATCTTTAAGCTGAATTCGCTCACTCAATCATGATACAAGTTATGAATATCATCTATTTGCAATTACATTTTTTTAACATAAAATCTGCTCATAAAGTACCGACGTGTAATCTGTACTAATTTTATGAACATACTCCATCATGAATTATAGACGTCACATTAGCTATATTCATATATATATTTTTTTTAATTTCTGTTCAAATAAAATCACGCCTCTTGTGTTCATGCTCTCCAAAAGAATTTCTTATGAACGGATGTTCAAGCCATGGTATCATGAAATACATGTCACCTCGTGTCATGAATTATGAAATACGTCACAGAAGATTTTTCTGATAATATGCATTTTTTTTTTCTTTTGTGTGAGCATTCCAGGTTCATTTCATGTATTTAATAGGTAAATCAATAATATAATATAACAAAACGTTTTCGAATCAAAGGCTGATGAAACCAGCATTACCCCAACAATCAAACAAATGAAAAACAGTAAATCAATTATGGTTACATTACATTATTAATAGCTTTACACCAATATTTAATTGTAATAATTTCAATCGTATTTTGTTTATGTTTTATATTTTAATTAAAGTTAAATATAAACCATGATAATGAAGTTTAACAGCTCAAATAGGCTGCTGTCATCTAATTACAAATTATTGTACAGTGCATGGCTAAATGTAGCTCGTAATATGGACTGGAGACAAGTCTTTTCGGTAAACCGCAGTTACTGGAAAACACTCAGTACCGCGAGCACACATGCAGTACTAAATATAGTTTGCACAAACCTGTAAATGACGCCGCTGGGATATGACTCCCTACACCCCCTACAATTGTATTTATAATCAGGTGTTGATCAAGACCTTCGCCCAGACGGCCTAGGCGAAGGTCAGGTTTTAAAACAATCATACTTACTTTCCTTGACACTTATTTTGAACATTACTATTAAGGGATTGTTTACATCCACGCTAGCCCATAATCAGGTCCTACCAGAGAGGTACATTCAAATTACATTATGGTCTTCCATTTCTATAGCACATGATACACTACATGTCAAACGTTACATAAGCACTATTATTAACTTGGCGTCGCTCAGTTCAGTTCAGTTCCCGCGTTCCCGAACGCGGGATTTTTATTGGGTGAGTGAAAATTTGTGGAAAGTGGATCTATGTGGGGAAGAAGCGGTGTGGAGGGCGGGGTTAATGACATTCCCTCTGAGGTCGGGTGGGCAAAGCCCCCTCGCGCTCACACATTCTTGATATTTTGAGGTCCTAATAGATTTTGAAGATGCAATATGAACTCAGTATTAAACATTTTTTTGGGTGGCAGGCAGGAAATAAGAGCACCCAGGGAGGGACCTTTAGAGATGAAGGATCGATATGGTGGGGCTGAGATATAAAAATTTTTAATTTCATGGCACCCCTAGGCAGCCGGAAATGTCACTCTAAGACTTTTTTTTAATATATACATTATATTTTCTTTCATGTAGGGGGAGGGCCCGGGCCGGCTGTCTCCACCCACTGTATCCGCAGACCTATCAAAATTGTCGATAGGTCTAACGATGAATATAGCAACTTTTATATGTTAAGGAAACTGATCTATTAAAATTAAATCAATCTAAAAACATTGTGGAATGTCATTAACTATACTACGAGTTAAGGTTCATTAATATGATTAAATTTAAGAATCGTAAATAAATCAAGGTCGCAGTAAAATAAGTCCCTACAAATTGGACAAACATACAGGCTAGATGTGAAACGTGCCACTTTCAACGACGTGGGGTTTCGGATTTTCACTGCATATGTCAACACATGTTATGAAAAAAATTATAGGACATGGTAAATAAAACATTATCAAATTTAAACTTAAAAGAATTAATGTAGGTCTAAATAGCGCACAATTAAAACAACCTTTAATATCATTGGGCATTGAAAATACTAAATTTTTACCATAAATGTACTGTAAATGTTATATTATAAATAAATGGAATTAATGGAAATTGCGAATATGAACCAATAATTACAAGCGCTTTACGTCGTAGATGAGATGGGTGGACGTCAAAAATATATAAAATCGAGAATTCATAAAATTCATAAAATAAGCCTATATTGATCTGATTGGGAACAGGGGAGGGAAAGCAAAAAATCATTTTGTTGTTGTTTTAAAGCGAATACGTCCACCACACTACTGGGCCAGGAAGGGACTTTAACATATGGGGGTCGTGGCGCATTCAGGAATTCAATATAGAGGGGTCTAGCAGGGAGGTACTTGCACAGAAATAGATACCTGTGTCCACACACCTCAGCCGGCCCCACTGTGGTTGGATTTGAGGAAAATATGATGTATGATTATGGCACCTCTAGATGGCCGGAATAGGCACTCGCAGACTTAAACGAGAATAAAGATAATTTTAGTGAAACATAGAAGGCCACTGTGTGGTTATAGCATTGATTTAAAGTAAAAACCTATTAGACATTCACATGAACAACAAAACGAATGAAAATATATTTGGCTTAATTATCGTTTTCAGTGCCAAATCCAGGATTTCAGAAAGGAGGCGGGGGAAGGATGCCTGAAATTGAAATTAAATTATCTTTTAATTCTTTTTATTTTGCCGAATTGAGTAAAAAAAAAACACGAATGAATTAAATAGGTGCCGGAAAGTGGCACTTAAAAATTTACAATTCTAAAAACTACCATATCCAACTGAGCTCCACTAGTTGGGCTCAGGTGAGGAAAGTTTGAGAATTTGAAAATTGAATAGTACAAAATTTACGATATCTACTTGAGCACCATCATGATTTTAGGGCGCATATGAGTACATTTTAGGAATTTGAGACTTTATAGTTTCCCGAAAACAGCACTTTGATACTTAAAATTTATGAAAACTACCAATCCATCCACCTCAGCCCACATTGGTTGAGGCTGCGATAAGACAAATATAAGAATTTGAGACTTTTATATTTCAGAAAATAGCACATTAATACATGAAAACTACAAAATTTACTATATCTACATGACCACTATCATGGATGATGCTGAGATGAGAACATTTAAAGAATTAGGAACTTTTAGATGCCAGAAAATGGCACTTTAAGACATAAAAACTAGGAACAACCTGAGCCCCATCATGGTTGAGGCTGAGGTGAGAAAATGTTAAGAATTAGGGACTTTTAGATGCCGGGATGGCACTGTATTACTTATAATTTATGTCTGATATTTTTTAACATTTAAAAAGGGGCACTTGATATTTTTTCAACATCTGATTGGGGGAGGGGTGCTTAGGCATCCTGACCACCCCCTTAATACGCCACTGCCTTCCTTGTTTCCCTCTCTTTATCGGACACACCCGGTTAATGATAGGCAAACTTTTTTTAACTGCTTTCAATAAGTTGTGGAATGTACTGCCGCTGTGTGTTTAGATCCATTTCTAATTGCTGGATGTATGTAGTCGGGGCCGTCCTGCTTCGATTCGCCGTGGGTTGGTTCCCAAAAGAGAACCGTTGAAATAACTTCATATAATATAAATGTATAGTATATTATACTTCTGTAGCAATGTCAAACAAATGCTAACCTACGTGCCCTCAAAATCCTTGATACAGGGGGAATAGCTCCATAAAGGTCTTTATTTGTAATAATGTTGTTCATAGTTGACATTCAAGGCGTGTCTGAGTAATCTTTTATATAAAACAACCATCAAAAGTCCTTTCTTTCAGGAATCTGTTCGTATATCTTTTCATAGAAATTCCGTAATAAGCAATATTTTTTTTAAAACCCTAGGTCACCTGAGTGTTAGGGGATTCCCCCATGCAGTGGCGGATTCCAGAGGAACCCAGTGGGCTCGGATACATTATTTTTTGCCATACACTTAAGGCAGAAATTACAGAAGGCGCTATTCTAGGTCAGTTAGGTGAAAAGATATACATGAATATGCATGCCGACTTCCCGAGGTGGCTGGGACTTTGACATGCACATTATTATCCGTTTCGTAAATTACATTCCCGGCTAAGTCCCCACTAGGCCCGGGTCTGGGGGTTTATACACATCT